CTTTTTGTTTTTTGCTTTATACATTTGTCAGCTTCCTCGGTCTTCCTCTTTAGTGCAGTATTAAGCAAAGGTTTGACTTTTAATAAAAGTATGTTAAATAGACGTAACAAACTTGGGGAATCTTGCAAAATTAAATTGATATAAACTTCAACATCGTTATGTTTTTTAAAAATGCTACATAAATTGTACAATAATGTCCCATTGAACACACTAGCAACTTTGATTGGTTCATACGGATATCCCAATAATGCGTTTAAGTTCATACTATGCTTCAAACAATTTTGAAACTCTGCAAAACTATGAACAATTGCAATATTAAATGTTTTCGGTTGCATATACAGTTTCCGATCTATTTTAAAATTAGATATAAAAAATGCGGCTGTAATTAAGCAGTCATTTGCGTTAACCTCGTGAATTGCATCTGCAAGTGTAGCATTGATTGAGTATTGTGGCTGATAATTTCTCACTCTTTCTTGTCGAATATTATCCACAGTTCTACTAAATCTTTTATTGAATTTACTTAGGATTCTATAGAAGCCTATATTATAATCTATTATATTAAATAACAAAGTGAATAATAAAGAGTATATATGACAATTAAATTTAGATGGTTCCTGTTGTTGATCTATCCAATACTTCATAGTTGCAATATATAACATCCAAATTGATGGAATTTCGTTTACATAACTTGCATCGGAAATCGTCAAAGTGGTGTTTAAAATTTCTCTTCTGATGGCAATGGGTACTTTTCTCAGTTTGCGCAAAGAAGGTAGTTTGCAACCAAGTATATTGTCGCTGTACTCCAATTGATAACGCTTAATTTTCTTATTTTCATCTTTGGTTATATATTCCATATCGGTTTTTCTTCCTTTTACTCCTGACAATGAGATCAATAATCCATAAATAACACCTATAATTTTTAAACTTACAATGATAGATGAGACGTAAGAAGGATCTTCAATTTGTGTACGGCAAACATACAATTTCCTTGTTACTAAATCTATAAAATAGGAAGGATATCTGCTTTGTTTGAATTTATTAATAAACCACCGAGGCAAATTGTCAACCAGAGACTCATTAGAAACCAATTCCTTTTCTTCAAGTATGTTTGCTACTTCTCTGTTCTCTATCTCTAATTCCATATCGCTCGGCTCCACCTCATTTGTCTGTTTGTCCACATATGTCAAATTATATATATCGCCTTCAAATTTGTATAGCTTGGACATATTCTGCATGTTTATCCTCGAAGAGATTTTCGCAGAAATACCTAGTGTATGACACACACTCAATGGATCAGCGTTGATGTAACTATTTATTGTTGTTTCTATTATATTTAAAACGTGTTTACGTTCTTGTTTTCGACATCTACTTAATATCTCGATTACCGCTTCATTTAAACTATGTCTTGATCGTAACCAATGAAATGCGATGTCTATACGTCGTTGTTGTTCAGTGTTGTATCTCCTTCTTCCCGTTTGTGGTTGATGACGGAAGAAGTTTCTAAACGTGTGTTGCTTCACATAATCATTTCCCAATAATACTGCTGCCAAAGGCAATAAAGACTGATTTAATCCATAGTAAGCTCGGAAAAGTTTCTCAACATAATAAATTTTGCAGCGTTTCATGTAACCCCTGCCTGTTGGTTTATTAGGCACTATGCCAATTTCCCATGTATTGAACGGTATGTATAACGATCCATAAATATAGAAGTCAGAGTCATAACTTAATACGGGACAATTTAGAATGCGTGCTATTGCAGCTATGGTATTGTCTGCCTCAAATATGCACTGTGCATACCTAATACCTTTCTCATTCATCACATCTTTGAAGACCTCTTTTATAAGCAGGGGAAGAAATTTGCTGCGATGCTGAGAAGATAAGGTATAACTTGATGCAATCTCAATCTGCTTCTTGGTTCGAGATATAATTG